CCTCGGATTAGGAACTAACTTATGGCTAATATTTGCTGCTTGCTTCAGTTGAGCCTTCTAAGCAAAATCGACTTTCCTTGTTTGGCCGTCTAACTATGTCTACTCATCTCAATTTTGCGCCATTAAGGCCTTTGACACGATGCGTCCGTCGTACGGAGGATGGGTGGGTTTTCCGCCTGCGGTAGCAGTAATATAGTTTGGTTGTAATTCCCAAGTATTTCTCCAGCCCACACCGGTCTGGACTGACCAAAGTACATTTATTCTGTATAGTTGTATAACCATTTTGGGACTCTATATCAGCAGTTTTTTGCGGCAATTTTCAAAAAGTGAGAATTACTAACAAACAACCGGTTCTGTGATGCAGGTGACCACTTGGGGGCAACCTGACCCATTCCTACCCATTGGCAAATAACACAGAGAGACCTTGTCAGCCAGTTGCTATACCTGCCAGCAAATCGCATTCTTATCGCAACTTATTCGGAGGCCGTGGAGATGTTGGTAAAACGAGCATCCAATCTTGCGTGCGCTAACTGGTCACTAAGTTTTCCTCGCGAAAATGCTGCTTGTTTCAAAGGTGTGAGTGTAATGACATCTGAAGTCGAACGCATCACCGAATCACGTTGCATACCATAATGTGGACATTCATAAATTCGATCAAAAAGCCGATGATTATTCCAAGCAGGTGCTGCCGAGTCGAGTGTTTCTGAACATGCCATCAATTGGAATCTAAATCTCTCTGGCTGGGCCACGACGTATGTGTCATGGGTCTTGGTGGGGATAGCCCGTATGCCTCCCAAAGGGGTCGTCCTTCGCAATCAGCTGGAAACCTTGTTTGCGTGATATTTCGCCGCAGTCGGTTGTGTTATTAAATTTTCACTTTTCAAAAGTACCTTCGTCAATTCTCTGAACCAGACTATTTTCAATGTTTTGTAATCTGCTGAAAATTGTGACAAGAAAAAATTCAAGGAACTTGGAGATCTGCGATTCTTAAAACAAATGAATGCTGATGTGTGGGTAACTCTTAACGGTTATATATTTGGTGACGTGCTACGCTGTGAATGAAACCGATCGGTATGAATGGACAGAGCACTGGATACTGTTTTGAGTCGTTATTTTGTGGCAGAATTTAGCGCAAATTAAAATCATTGTGCCGCCGTCAAAAGCAAGTTCCCTACTCAAGTGTGATCACAGTATTGCTTAGCCCCTTTACAGTCACGCACTTAATTCGGACGCTTTACAAACGCGATTATAAGGTGTAAATTTTTAAGATTAATTTTCTGTGCTTGTACAACTTTGATAATTTGTATAGGCTGGATTTATGTAGAATCTAGGCTGCAGCTCTCATAAACATATTTTTTTTTTCGAAATGTTTTTGAATTGGCCTCTATGTACTGACATGCATACTCGCAATCGAATTGCCTATCTCGCTACGCTTATTATAACCTATCTAACTGCATGCACAGAACTCAATCCACAATCCTTTTTTATATTCTCTCTGTTGTCCTATGACGCCGTGTATTTCCTAGGTCACCTGGAGTACAGTATCTGCGTCCTGAATTTGAGTGAGGTGGGCATGTCTGCCGACCGATTGGATCACCTCCTTACACACGCTCCCCTACAGTCGATCATCCTCCTCGAAGACATCGACGCCGCCCTTCCTAGTCGCGCTCAGTCTGGTGAAGCCTCCAAAACGTGTATGTTATCTCTAACTGACTGTGCTTTTCCGCTATCTCTTCCACAGCTGAACGTTTTAAGTGTGTCTTACCATACAAAACCAAATAGACAAGGTTCTGCTGTTATAACTACATAGCAGCGGTTAAAGCTTTATGATTAAAATTCATTGGCGTTTCGAGTACGATGCTGCCTCCTTTGAATCTGTATCCAGTAGTGACGCGTACGTCAAACCCCAATGGTCACAACAATTGGTGTAATACAGTACTTAATTGT